GCGAGGTGATGCTAATTACAGCACAGAGATTTTTTATTGCTTTGCTGTGCTGAAGAGAAAAGAAATAGTTTCTGCGCATCAGTCTGTGGTGGTTTGGAGGTCCATTCAGAACTAGCTGAGGTCTGTTGTTAAGATCTACATCCCACAATTCTGACTGAATTCTGACAATAAAAAAAGTCAGAATTTTGAGAAAAAAGTCAGAATTTTGAGATTAAAGTCAGGATTCTGACTTTTTCCCATACTAAACTGAAATAACATTTAAAAATCAGTTAACTTTTTTTTCCAGTGGCCCTAATCCTCTTCCGTAGAAAACAAAGTCTGGTGCAGTTGAATTATTAATTTATTCCCCATTCAGCCTCCCTGACCTGTCAGCAGGTTCAGCCTGAAACAATAAAAACAAAGAGCGTCACACCAGACATGTTCTCCCGACACGTTACAAACCCAACAGATTAAATAAGAGAGTTAGGAGAAGGTCAACCTTTTTTTTAAATTGTTAAAATGTTTTTAGCAAACTGTAACGATTCCCATGCTGTCGACCATCCCAATAATATCTCACTACTTACTCACTTTCAACATGTTACTCAGACTCCAGCGCTCTTCCTTCTCCTCATGACCTTCCTCTTCGTTTCTCCTCCCCTTCAGTTCCACGACAAGATGGACCCGCTGCTGGAGACTCTGGAGGGGGCGGTGCAGAGGCTCCGCCTGCCCCCTCCGGTCGCCGCCGAGGTGGAGAAGATCCGGGAGCAGCTGGCGGAGCACCGGGCTCAGGGGCTGGAGCTGGACAAGCTGCTGCCGAGCTTCTCCGCCCTCTGCTCGCGTGGGGAGGAGCTTATCGGCAGAGCGGCTCACGACGATCCGGCTGCTGAGGGTGAGAGGCTGCCATGGAGTTACCCGTTAATGTTTCGATTGAGGACCTGACCTTTGACCTTCATTCATCCTGTCTAATGCAGCCGTGCGCTCCCGCCTCCTGCGCCTTCGTTCTCTATGGGATGAGATCCGCCAGCGAGCCGAGGAAAGAGAGACCAAGCTGAACGACGTCCTGGACCTAGCCGGGAAGTTCTGGGCCGATGTGGCGGCTCTACTGAGCACGCTCAGAGACTCCCAGGATATCGTGAGAGAGCTGGAGGACCCTGGGGTGGACCCGTCGCTCATCAAACAGCAGATCGAAGCAGCTGAGGTCCGTGAGACGATCCTGTCGGGAATATCCCGTTTTTAGAGCCTCGTTTTCTGTCTCAAAGCTAAATTCCTCCATGCAATGTGTTCGCCAGGCCATCAAGGCGGAGACGGACGGCCTGAGGGAGGAGCTGGAGTTCGTCCGGACGCTTGGAGCTGACCTCATCTTCGCCTGTGGAGAAACTGAGAAACCTGAAGTGAAGAAGACTATAGATGAGGTGAGGCGCTCGAACTGAAACAGGCTGAAAGTTCAGCGATGAGACGAATATTCAGGTTCTCACAGTGACGCTAATCCCTCCTCTGACAGATAATATTATCCACACCTCATCCTGACCAATCAGAAGAGACACATTTACAGACATTTTTGTCTTTTCCTCTCAAACTACCAAAAATGAAAATTAAAGTACTTTTATATTTTATGTGTTCTGTTCTCCTT